ATGGGTGACAAAAGAATAAGAGATGCAAAGCAAAAAAGTAGAAGGAACTGAGATGAAAAACGTACTAGTTTCTGCGTGTCACGACCCAAAACTCCAAGTCGTGATGGCACCTATCGATGGTACTAGGCAAGCCGACCTTTCAAAATACTTCAATATTCATAAAAAGGATAATTCAAAGCTTTTTCATAATAGAAATTTTTACAAAAACCGGAGTTGAATTCAAAATAAAATTCGGAAAGATAGCCCCAAACATCGGGGTGTCACCAAGTCATGAGCATCTAGATATCCAGTCTAATAAAAACATTGTCTAAGTATCAATAGAGGAAAGAAAGAAAACATAGAAGGAGAGACAAGGTCTAGCCCCGACAACTACGTCGTAGTCTCCGGTACTCGATCGCGCATGAACTCAACGACCTCCTTGATCAAACACACCTGGATCTGCACATAAAGTACAAGGTGTAGTATGAGTACAACCAACTCAGCAAGTAACAAAAATAAATAAGGAACTGAGAAGCAGTGACGAGCTATACAATTACAGTTCATTTTCAATAATTCCACCAAAGAATAGACATGCTCTCACATCCGGCAGTTTAAGTCCAATCAGTTTTATACAGTTAAAGTTCAGTTAATCCAGATATAGGATTTTCAGGAATTTCACAACAATGAAAAATAACAACTAAGTGCATCAACAAATGAAAAAGCAAGTACAACCTCTCAGGGCAACAGTCACTCAACTCATCACAACAACTTAAAACACGCGACTCTAAGCCCTCAGTACTCACACTCAATAGGTATCTGCGCTCACTGGGGGTGTGCAGACTCCAGAGGGTCTCCTTTCAGCCCAAGAGCTATAACCGCATGGACAACTCACGTGCTATAGTATCAATATGTGGAACCGCACGGACAACTCACGTGCTGCACAGACAACTAACGTGCCATAGTATCAATACCTCACAGACAGGCCCTCGGCCTCACTCAGTCATCAACCTCTCTAGTCTCTCGGGCTCTCGGAAATCACAAAGATCGGCCCAAACAAATATAAGATAGTGTATCAACAAGAATCAAGAAGAGGCTGAGATATGATATGCAAGTAAAACCATGACTGAGTACAAGACAACAATTAACAAGTAATTCCACAAGTACGCGACCTCTACGGGTCCCAACAGTACCATCACATAGCCTAAGCATGATTTTTAACATGATTTGCCGAAAAATTTCTATAACACAGGGAGAGCATATAGCTAGCAACAAGTTATTCAACTTTACAGTTTCACAGAATGCACCAAGTCCCAATTCCTACGGTGCACGCCCACTCTCCCGTCACCTAGCATGTGCGTCACCTCCAAAATACTCACATAATCCAATAATCCGGGGTTTTATATTTAAAACTAT